TTAGTGTCTTTGTACAACTATATAGATTCCTCCTCAAGAAACCCACTGCTCTGAAGGCTTTATGTTGTATGCTGTCTATGTATGTTCAACTTTTTGTTGGTGTGTACTGTGATATTGTGTTGGGTAACTGTTGTGAGTGGACTGAATATAGGAATTTTATAGGTGCTTGAGAATGAGTGAAATTTATGATTTTGCATTTGTCTGGCCAAAAATTCATTTGCCATGTGACTTCCCATTGCTCAAGGGAGTCTAGGTCAGTCTGGAGGAGGTTACACCCTTCCTTTCTTCAAGCAAATGTTTTCAACAACACTCTTTCCCATTTAATAAAAATGTTTTAAAGTTCACAAGAAGACTATAAGAAACCTATTATTTTTTTATTAAGCTCTCTCACAGATATGATTACAGTGTGACAGTATATACATATCTGATGTAATCTATCATTAATGATCAGCAGTTCTGACAATTGGAACATAACCATAACAAATCCACCTCTTTTCCTCTTGCAGTTAACTTCGTGACAGTAAAAACAATGACACTAAAAACATTCATGAAAAGTTCCTTACTTGGGGTTGGCTGTCTGAATGAGGTAAACACTCTTCTCTCTCACTGACTCCATGATCTCTACACTTGTTTCTCGATTGGCCATTTCCTTCACTTCTGCTCGACCTACGGGCACTTCTAGCCGGCTGCAAAGATGCAGCATAAAATGGGTAATATAATGAAGGAATCTCAGATTATCAGGTTGCTGAACACATGCAACATAAAGCAGCAGCAGTAAATTTCTTATAACCCTGCATTTGTTATATAAAAAATGGTCAACTAGATATGAATACAACCCATATGATTTTGGCTTTAGAAATAAAACAAAGCAAGAAAATCTGAGGAGGAGGTTGTATGCATACTAAAAATGGGTTAAAGCATCTAATTATGTTGGGAATTATAAGGGTCCTTATTTATATTAAAGGTATATTATTTGAAGATGATAACCATACAACCTTACAAAATCTGAAGATGTGACTTTAGTTAAGAATGAATTCCTTTCTTAAAGATACTAATAATTGCAAAAACAAAAAATCCAGTAAACACACAGCATTAACAATAAAAACAAAATGGTTACTGCCATCAATATATACTGTCAAGAAATCATGTTTAACCATGGCAATAAGAAACAAACTGTAATGAAGAGCAAAATATTAACAGGAAAATAAAAAGGTAACAATAAATCAAATAAGCACAACTAAATTTCCCCCAGTCATCTTCAAAGAGGGGAGGCTGTTTTGGAGGAAATAAAGAGTGGTGAATTCCTCGCAATAGCAAGGAGATGACACATACACATATATTATATAAATTTGTTAATGAAATTAATATCAATTATCAAATACAAATAAAGAGTACCAATAATAGGCAATAAAATCCAAAGGGAGATGATGAATATGATAATGCGATGATGATAAAAATTGCAAATACAGAGAAAAGAGAACAAACCTGACAAAATAAAAGGAGTTAATCAACAAGATGGTAGGAGCTGAAAGAATTCAACCCATGAAGGACATGTGTTTTATTTTAAGGCATGCTTAGGTGAGGATGTAGGGTAACAGAGACATCTATACTAACATTCCTCCAGTATGCTTTACATTTATTTGATATTTTAAAATCTCCTAAGCAGAATTTGATCGGCAAATTCCAGAGACACGCATTTTTCACGTGAGCAGAATCAGAATAGATAAAAATGACCATTTAGTGAGCGCCACATTTGCTCATAAGACTCCTTCCTCAAGAGACAAACAATAAGTCGGTGGTTCCCAAACATTTCACACTCCCTTTTCCCAAGCTCTGACACATCTGCTACCGCCTGACATCAGCTATTCCATTATTTTTTTTCCCCAACTGCATGCTTTAGGCTATGAGAGAGAAAATAAAATCGCCAATATGTACTAACTTTATTCACCTATTTGTAATACAATATTTCTCGAAGACATGGCTTCATAGTACATTCTTAACCTAATATGCCAGGATGGCATGAAATACATGTCATGTCCCCTGTGAATTTATCTTACTAATTTTGTTTACACATAAACAGCTCTACAACTCCTTGACATCAAGGAGTCAGTTACTAGTCCTATATATATCCCTTGCTTACCCTTCATTTGATTTTTGGAAAGATTTTTATTTTTTAATTATTATTACTATTCTAATGACATTAAAATAATCATAATTTCAATAATAATAACTATATCACTATCACTAGCATTATGGGGGGGGGGGGGGGGGAAATCACAAACAAATGAAGAATAGGGATATCACATGAGGTCATGTAGAACTTCTCCTTGCTAACCCTCAGTGAAACCCTCTTGGAAGTCCTGACCTACCCAGCTGGGAACCACTGCAGGAAAAGCTAATTATCTTATTACAATTTCAAAATAAGTGGCCATAAAATTAAAGTATGCAAACATAATTAACATGGAATAAACAGATGAAGAAGCAGGTAAAAAACTACAGTTCTATGAATAGATTTCATAACTACAGTTTCTTAAAGCATGGTTAGCAGATTTATAATCTTTATAAATAAATATAAATGCCCTCAAACTTTGCAAAGGAATTAGCTTTTATACTGAACATATTTCATGCTGCATGAAAATAGCCACCTTTGTCTTTTTTATATTCTAAACATAAATAAAAAAATAATCCCTATGCCATTACAGTCTTCTTCCAACCTATTCCTGATGTTTAAAATTAGCCAGATAGTTACCAGGAGTTGATCCTTCCAGCTCTTATATTCTTATTTCAAATGCAACATTAAAAATATATAAAAAAGCTGACACAGTTAATCAAGAATAACACATATTATTAAAAAGAACAAATTTACCTTGAAATTACAATGAAAAGAAATTATCATAGAAGGAAAAGAAAGGGCGTCAAGAAATCTTAGATTTTGTTAGTCACAGTTCAAAGTTCTGTAAGTGGTGGTGCCTACAGGGATTCACTCTGGCTACTGGCTGATGATTACTGTTTCATGAGATTAAATAAAACTGATACTACAAAGCATATCTTCCAGAGTGATGCAGCCTATCTACTACCAATCACTACAATATTCAGCATAATCACAAGCAAAATTCACAATAACAGCATGCCTACTAAGCAAGGAATTCTATAACAGTTAAAAATAGTTTCCCAGGTGAACTAGTTTACTCTTCATGAAAAATTCATATTATTCAATATCAAGGCCAGAGGCATTCCTTACTCATAATACCAAAACACATGGCACTTACATAAATATATAACAATTTGCTATAAACACCATACTGAAAACCATGCAGTTATTAATTTTTTTTTACTTTACATGTATAAATACAAATGTCTCTATAAAAACCTTATATGTAAATTGTTCTAAACATGAAAAATTTCACAAATAAGAATCACACAATATAAATTAAAACATTATAAAATTCCATGAACTGCATGGTTTCAATGAAGTGCACAGATGCAAAATATGCTCCTCAAATTCTTTCCATATATCATGAATGTAATCATCTAAGATTCAATACAATAACAATGCCAACTATAAACAGAAAAAACAATTCAGTCACTGAGACAGCCTCAGACACACAGATATACAAGAGAAATACACACAGAACATACATACAGACAAAAGAGTAGCAAGCTGGATTATACAACCTCCTTTAGTTCCAAGGTATAGATAGCCAAGATACAATAAACCTGGATAACAATGTACCACTGGACATTTACACAAATATAACTGTAATGCATTTAGAAGTAAAAGAAAAACAAACATGCATATACATTCACTCTCACTATAAACATAAACTCACTATAGTAATGAAAGCTATATGCACTTAAATACCAGTTCCCTGAAAGATCCTTTTTTTTTCTTTCTTTCTTTTTTCTACATAAAATTCTCAATACCACAATTAACATATATAATGTGATTGATTTATTGGGTGATAAGTGCATTTTAACCACTACGATCCAGATGATGTGAGTGTCATGTCTTGAAAAAATTTGGCTTGAGAGGTGAGTGACATGATCATCCCATCCTATTCTTGGCCACATGGTTGCACTGATGAAAATTTAATATGTGTGTGTGGGGGGGGGGATCTAAATGACACAAATATCAAAATGATATTTATTGTTATTTTTGCACTCAGTTTTGGACTACCTAGAGAGATGATGTGGAGTCTGTACAAGGAAAACAGTATATTACCATCTGGACAAAGCAAATCAAATGACAACTATGTACATTGGAAAATGGCAAAAAAGCTAAAAAGATTTATGCAGAAAAAGAGACATTAACATTTGAAAAGGGAGGCATAGAGTCTTGTCACCACACATGAATTTTATGTGCACCCAGCCTAAAAGCTGTGCACCCATCAAAGTAGCCAATCAAGTAAGCCTAATGTCCGTATTCTGGGCCATGTGATGGCAGTGAAACATCTGGATTCAATGGGTTAATGATGTAGTTTACAAAACCAAGGCATAGAAGATAACTCACTGGATTTTCCAATATAACTGGTACAATGCTTTTGTAATAATATTCGAATCAACTAGTTACAAACACAGAATCCAAAATTTGGGGATAAACTACCATACCCGTTTCCTCCATTATAATCAGGTTAAAAACTATAACAAAGTGCATAACATCACTTTCTTTGATATATAATCAAATACCCATGTTTCCATACTTTCAGGCAGCAAACAATGTATTTTCAATGTAGATGTAACCATAAAATTATGTTTACTTTTACATCTACTTTTATCCAATTCACAAAGTAAATTCCAAACCCAATTGGTTTTTATTGTACAAGGAAACATGTGACAAACTAAAAACTATAATACTGGCCTCTGTTTTTCCCTCTTGAAGAAATAACTGGGATCTTCACTGCATAAAGCTATTCACATAAGACTACCTGCATTCTTTGTTCATATGAATTTACATACAGTACTCTGACTACTGTACTAGTTTCCAAGAATAAAACAGTTTCTAATTTTCTACTGAGAAAAGGGCCCCAGGCTAGCAGAGAAAAACCTTTGGTCAAGATAAAAAAAAGGAAGATAGAAAAGAGGTAAGAGAGTCATTGGTTAGGTGTGTATAGTAAAAGAAATGTATTACTGTACTGCCCATTGTATGGCAAACCTATGTCTATACTTGTATATCTAATTTCAGAAGTTCTTTTAAACTTACCATTTACTTCCAGGCTGTTTAACTATCTTAATACTAAGGTGAGGTTATGCTGTACCTGCACTCTGCTAAACTGTTTGGTAAAATCTAACCACAATCTTTTAACTCACTTTGTACCAGTCTGGAGAATAAAAACATCTCGCCCCCTTACGGAGTCACCAATTTCCACCATTGTCTCTCGGTTGGCCTTATGGTACACAGCTATGTTCCCCATGTGTTTTCCCAGTCGACTGAATAAAAAAACTTGACAAAGTGAGAATCTAAAACCTAATTCTAAATTAATTACATTCACAATTGTAAAAAAATTCTACTTTATACATAGATCACTATATTTATTATAGTAACAAAAGCATACAACAATTAAAAATTATCATCAATATTATTAAAAAATAACACCTGAATATTTATGAGAAATACATGAAACAGTCATATATAAGATTATATGGAAAAAGTTATTCATAAATGAATATAAAAGACTGAGACCATTCT